TCCAAAAGTAGAATGGGAGGAAGATCTTTCAGTTATCAGGCTCCTCTCTTATGGAACAAATTCCAGTTTCTGTCCGTGAGGCTGACACATTGTCCAGTTTTAAGACTAGGATTAAGACTTTCATCCATCCATCCATTTTCTTCCGCTTATCCGGGTCGGGTCGCGGGGGTAGCAGCCTAAGTAGGGAGGCCCAGACTTCCCTCTCCCCAGCCACTTGGTCCAGCTCCTCCGGGGGAATCCCGAGGCGTTCCCAGGCCCGCCGAGAAACATAGTCCCTCCAACCTGTCCTGGGTCTTCCTCTGGGTCTCCTCTCGGTGGGACGTGTCCAGAACACCTCACTAGGGAGGCGTCCAGGAGGCATCCTAAAGAGATGCCCAAGCCACCTCAACTGGCTCCTCTCGGCATGGAAAAGCAGCGGCTCTACTCTGAGTCCCTCCCGGATGATCGAGTTTCTCACTCTATCTCTAAGGGAGAGCCCAGACACCCTGCGGAGAAAACTCATTTTGGACGCTTGTATTCGAGATCTCGTTCTTTCGGTCACAACCCAAAGCTCATGACCATAGATGAGGGTAGGAATGTAGATTGATCGGTAAATTGAGAGCTTCGCCTTTTGACTCAGCTCTCTCTTCACCACGACAGACCTGTACAGCGCCCGCTTCACTGCAGACGCTGCATCTATCCGCCTATCGATTTCACGTTCCATTTTTCCCTCATTCGTGAACAAGACCCCAACCTTGAACTCCTCCACTTGGGACAGGACCTCCTCCCTGACCCAGAGAGGACTCTGGTCAGGGAGGAGGCTCAAGACCATGGCCTCGGATTTGGATGAACTGATCTTCATCCCGGCCGTGCCGCACTCGGCTGCGAACCGCTCCAGCGAAAGCTGTAGATCACAATCTGATGAAGCAAACAGGACCACATCATCTGTAAAAAGCAGAGACGCAATCCTAAGGCCACCAAAACGGATCACCTCAACACCTTGGCTGCACCTAGAAATTCTGTCCATAAAAGTTATGAACAGAATCGGTGACAAAGGGCAACCTTGACAGAGTCCAACTCTCACCTGGAACAAGCCCGACTTACTGCCGGCATTGCGGACCAGGCTCTGACACCGGTCATACAGGGACCTAGCAGCCCGTATCAAAGGGCCCGGTACCCCATTCTCCCAGAGTACCCCCCACAGGGTTCCCCGAGGGACGCGATCGAACGCTTTCTCCAAGTCCACAAAGCACATGTAGACCGGTTGGGCAAACTCCCACGCACCCTCCAGGACCCTGCTGAGAGTGTAGAGCTGGTCCAGTGTTCCACGACCAGGACGAAAACCGCACTGCTCCTCCTGAATCCGAGGTTCGACTATCTGAAGGACCCTCCTCTCCAGAATTAAGACTTTCCTTTTTGATAAATCCTATAGCTAGGGTTGGCTTGGATTTCCTGAGTTACCCCTGAGTTCTGTTGCTATAAGCTTAGACTACTGGAAGACAAATTGACCACATTTCCTCACTCTGCTGCTGTCTTTACTTACGCTACCTGTTTTTATTTATAATTATTTCTATCCTTAACATGTTTTTTTTGTCTTTACTCCAACAGAAATTACATCTGGACCTGCCATTGTTTATCTGTTCCTCCTTCCTGTTCCTCTCAAATGCAGCCGGTCGAAGCAGATGGCCGCTCGTCCTGAGCCTGGTTGTGCTGGAGGTTTCTTCTTGTTAAAAGGGAGTTTTTCCTTCCCACTGTCGCCTTTGTGCTTGCTCAGGTTGGGAGACTGTGATGAAGTGAAGATTCAACACAATCCTGACTTCCTTAGATAGAGAACTTTACTAATTGGCTTTTACAATGAATGTGAATGTTTTTGTACAGTGCCGTGAGACAACTTCTGTTTTGACTTGGCACTATATAAATAAACTGAATTGAATTGATAAAGCTATAACAGACTTATTTTTACAGATAGGTTTACTTTCAGGACTGCATTATTCCGATATTTGGTAAATTTAGCTGAAATCTGCTTCACGGTGGTATTTTTCCCCTTTTGACAGCAAAATGATACACAGCCGCTTACTTTGAAGAACACCTCCTTGCTGCCGTACAGTGATAACATACAATCATTCCTGCCTGCAAGCGAACATTCAGCTTCTCTGCTCTGTAACTGGAACTGATACAATTCCTGAAATTAATAGTATATTAAAAAGTATCAGGAATGCACAGCTCTGGATTATTAATTTATTTTTGCTCATTTATATCCAAGAGACTGACTCAGACATGTTAATAGCTTTTATCAACAGTATTAAAATAACACATCTTTCTACCTGAATGGGGAAGACATCGATTTGTCTCTGGTGGATTTACCATTTTTATGTGTTTTCCAATCAAGGTGGTCCATTGGCATTTGTTTTGCATGCTCTTTTGGATGTGTATCCTGGATATCTTCTGACTTCTACAGGTCAGAAATAATCTTTTGTTGCTCCTTGGTCTCCTGCATCTTACCTACATCTGAATTCACATCCTTTCCATCTGTGCACACATCACTAAACCTTTGTCAGCTGCAAATACAGATGTGCTATCATCATACATTTTCTCTTAATCCACATTACCATTATTGTTTAACTTGAATAGTTTTGTTATAATGGTCCACTATATGTCACAAAGCTAAGGTGAAGCTAACTAGGCCTCTGGGGTTTACTCAACGCCTAAAGCATTTTTTCTAGCTGCAGGACTCACCACAGACATAGAGATTGGATCCAGTTATTGGTTTATTTCATGACTCAAACTAATTTGCAGAAGTAATATGCTTCTACAATTTTTTTTATCTTACAAACATCAGACATAGTCAGCATAAGGGAAGCCAAACAGCTGGATATACTATATTTGGCACAGTGATCAGTATAAAAAAGGGAAACCTTTAGTTAGGCTGTGACATGCATATACTACAAATACATGAAGTGTACATTCAATATTTAAGAAATTTGGCACAATACAAATGATTTTACTCATTTTGTCACATATCGGGCAAATTTTCTTTGGAAATAGGCGCAGCCAAAGTTAAACAGGAAGTGACATCAAAGGGGAGCTCTCTAAAAAGAGGAACTTCCTGGTTTTAGTTTGCTGAAACAATATTTGAACTCTAACTCTCCTTCATTTCTCTCTGATAGTAACTCAAAATAATCAAAAGAAACATCAGATTTTCCTGTACAGTCTGTGTGGCTAGCCGTGGCAGCAATGCTCAGTTCACATGCAGACGTTCCCCTTTGACATCACTTCCTGTTACTGTGCATGCAAATATCTGACATCCCTATGACAGTTATACGGTACAGTTAAGATGAAGCGGGTAAAACACGGTGATACATTTTGTTGAACTATTAGGTTGACTTTCACAAACCAAAGGTGAGCACTGTGTCATTTGAAAGTCATAAAAATAGTGTATGCAATAATAAAAGCTCATGACAAAACCAGTGAGATAACAAAACACTGACATATCTGTCCACAAGACAAGATATTTTGCAAAGCACGTTTTGTCTTTAACACCATAAAATGATTTGATTATGTCTGTGAAATAACATATTGTTTAATTTTAAAATTTCACACATATATGCAGTATCAATGCTAATTGAAAATGCAATAAAGTGGAAACATTTGTTTCTGCTCAGACTACTGGAAGCCTCACAAACAAGCCTCAACTTGAGCTACTGTGACCGAAGACAAATGAGCAGATTTTTCTCAAATCAGACGTTTTGGTGAAAATCAGCTGTGCTAAATAAATGACTGACAGGAACTGATGTTGCAGTTTCCACAGCAACAGAAACTGCCACTTATGGCTGTGCATCCAGAGTGTTTCAAGAGGGTTATTTTTTTGGCTGCATTGTTTCTCCCAGTGATCAGGGCTCTTTTCTTGTCATTTGGTTGTGATTTTAACACAATGTTGTGACTAAAAGCAGATCATGGCTTGAAAATCACTCCTTTCTTACTGTTCTGATGATGAGAATAAACCTCAAATCTATGTTTTTGTCTACAAGAGCTTTTTAACCCCCTTCTTTTAGGAGCTGGAATGAAAAGATTTAAAAAAACTGTTTTTTTAATGCATATGACTAGTTTCTTTATATAAGAGGGGCAGAGTTTATTGTCACATGAAAAGTTTACTTTTAAATTTAATTTTAAGCATTTGGGATATTTGAATGAATGAACTACGTGCTCGTCTGAAATTTAGTTTTTCATAATTAAAAAGAATCAACTAGTGACAGAAAAGGTGCAAAACTAATTTTACAACTGACAAAAAATGTTTCTGACAAAATGACTGCTGGAACACCTGCAAACATTTAGACCAGGAAAGAAGAAACATGTAAAGAAAATGAAGGAATGGATGGAAGGATGGATGGATGGATGGATGGAGGATGGAAGGACAGATGGAAGAAT